CTAATAATAAAGTGTGTACCTAAGGCTATGTTCATTGTTAAGAATAGATCATACAGAGATAAAGAAATATATTTGCTGCTTTTATTACCATTCTTTCACCATAATAACAAATATAATATACTAATAACCAGAAGTTGTTCATTGGAGAACAAGTGTACCATATGTGTAAGGATCCTTGTTTCTTTCATACAAAGCTGAAACATACTATAAACATTAGTATCAAAAACCCCCAATGTTATTAGGTAAGACCTACCATCAATGTAAGATCGTGTATTACAATATCTTATATATTTATATGTTGTATATATCAAAATCAATGATTTCACTTTCATACTCTTGATCCCTCCTATCAAGGGGGGGGGGGGTGTCTGTTGATAAAGAAGTAATTACAAATATTTACAGTTCTGGTGTACAAATTCTGAGGATAATACCTGAGCAGGTTTAATGGTGGATTAAAATTGAGAAAGGATTGCGATAGTGGCTAATTTTAAGTATATTTTACCATTACAGTGGTGAGCTAATAGGAAATCGAAATCCCAAATTTCAGTTGAAAACAAAAGTGGGACAATGTTCTAAAACATCTTTATCTTACATAAAGTCACCTACTGGTGTGGTATATGTAGGAAACTTGCAAAAACTTATTTAAGACTGCTACTTTTTATTTCTGTCGTTTAAAAAGCCATTCATATTGTATGTTTTGTGAAGATATAAAATTCCCCAAAAGCAGGTAAAGGAAGCAAATGCCATATGGAGATTTTAAGGCTAAAACAAACACATCTTTATAGAGAATCACTACAAGTTGTATTCTCATAACTGTATACAGTTAATATAATAATATTAGCCATATTATTTCACATGCCTTTATAATTTCTATTGAGGTAAAAGTTAAAGAAGGTCAAGTCAGTACTGAAGATCCTCACAATTAACCTTGCTTTATGCAAAGGGTTTTTTAACCAGTAGCAATGCATTTCCTATTTTTTACACTTTTCTATTATGTTGTGGTTCAATAGTACAGAAACTTTTAGCCATTTATTAAATAGGGGAAAATTAACAATACATTTCAGCAGACTGATAAATCTGCCCCACTGCCAGGGTTGCTTACAATGGTCACTTTTTATTTGCACGGTTTAAATATCGTTCAGCAAAAAAATACTGTTTCTGCACAAGCTCTAGCACTCTTTGTAGTGTTAGAGTTTGTCTCATCCTCCAGTAATGTAATTTCACCTGGACAGATTGGTCTGCATGTAAATGTGGGAAAAGTACAAATAAATGCATGAAAAGAATAATTACTAAATATTATCATTACATGTAATCACCACATATGGTTGTTAGAATGTAATATTGTTAGTGATGACAATGATTTAATATGTAGAAACTCAAACTTATTGTTTCTCTCCAACCCATTTGTTAAGGCATTATAGCCTGCAATGGTACTGTTTTTGCTAAGATAATCAGCACTGTGCAAGGATGGCAGCATAAAAAAATTTGGCACAGGCACAAAGCTTTTCGTTATTGGTAAGTATAGCACTTACCCTGATGGAAAGTAAAATATGGTACACTGAAGTATAAAACACGAGGGATGTCACCAACGCAATTTATGTAACCATAGCATGCAAGTTACAATTGTTTTTAATTTATTTTTTTCAATATCAGTTATTCTGCTTTATTTTTAAGTGTTCATTATACTATAACATTATTTTTAAGAGATATTTAGATATTGCAGTTTAACACTTTCCTTTGGTAAAGTTGACAATGATGACTGAGGTGTTTTTGTTTAATCTACAAAAAAAATGCTGATTTTACAATATGTTACTGCCCCAAATATATGATAAATAACTCTTTTATAATTTATTATAAGTGTAAATAACCTCAGGATCCTATCTGCCCCAGTCGGTCACCATGATAAACCTACATGCATGTAGAATGCATTTTCACAAGTAATCTACTCCTACATTTCTCTGATAGCATATCAGTAGATTACCACAATTGTCACATTTTAAAAGACTACTTTTGCGAAAACATTATGTTGTAATACATTTTTGCAGTTAACAAATGTAATAATAGCTTGGCTTTGCCTGCATGTAAATCAGAAGAAATATGTAAAGAAAGGAAGGTGAAATCAAAAAAAGGAAATGATATATTCTGAATACTATCATTAACTGTATACAGTTATCAGAATGCAATATCTTTCGAGATGATGTCTTTTCATTCTGCTTTTCTAATAAAGATGTGGCACAAAAGTAACAAGTGTAACATCGGACAACTAATTAACACATTTAGGATAAGCTATAAAATTGTATCATTATCTATAGGGAATATGTCAACAAGACACCTTGAACATACTGCTGTTCACTAATTAGGTAAAGTAACATATTTCCACAGAATGTGTCAGCTTTAGATTAATGTTACATTCAAAAGCAGTGTTCAGTCTGCAGACAGTCATTTTTAATAATTATTTACTGCATCTAAAACTTCTATAAATCCTACAAACATATTCCACCGCTTGCTTCTTTGCACTGGCAATGTGGCAATGAACTTGGAAAGTAAAAAAACAACTTCTTCAGAGTTTGAGTCTGCTCTACATACAGTGATCTTCCTATAAATAGTAAACTTAATGCTAAACATACTACACTCATATAAACGAATACCACCTCTAAGGAAGCAATAAGGTGGGAAAAGAAGTTATACTCCAACCAAATATTAATAGTTATTAGCCAAATGGATTACTTTATTAAATATAGTAGAACAAAATGTTTTTCAGATCATAAAGAGAGTATGTTCATAAACAGAAATCTCTAATAAAATTGGCAGCGCTGTCAAACATATCACTCATTAAAAACATTGGAACAATGCCATCTCCAAGACCTCACTCACACAGTTGGAAAATACAAAAAAAATTAAAAGTTGCAGATAAAGAGATTTTGTGGACTGATTATGATTATAGATTATGTAAACTTTTAAAAGCAAATACTGTACACAAAATATGTGGCACTAACAATTTGTTGAAGGTGGTTTGCAAACATCTGCTGATGCAATACAGAGGTTGTTGCAGGACTGCATACATAGGCATGGGTCTCGGTGCTCACCCATAACTCATTAAATAACAAACTCACTAGATAGAGATCAAGTCTGGAGGCACTCACAGCACTTGAGTCCCTTTAGTGCAAACTTCTAGGGCTAAAAAGAATAAAAAAAACATTGTGACCATTTCTTGTGCAAAGACATCCAAATGCCTTGAAAAAGCACACAGGTTTGCATGAGAAATGGCTGTTGGCTGGAATATTTTAATTGCTTTTAGCCTTTGAAGTTTGCTATCAAAGTTTTGTGCCATGAGTGCACCTGGATTTCTATCTAGTGAGATTATATAAATTGATACCTTTATTAGAAACTACTACTCATTTTCATCAGTCTGGCAGAAGAAGATCCAATAGTAAATTATTTCTATGCATTTTTCTGAAGATCATGTGACCATTTCATCTCTATTGTAGAAATTTCACTTTGGACAGGAGGTCAGCCACATCATTGAATTTCTCACATCACATTATATATTAATAGGCAACATCGCATTGTTTTATCACTTTTAGCTTCACACTGTCATTGCCAAGTGGTCAGCAGTGATATGCAATTCTTTGGGAACTTTGCACAAAGCTGATTAGACATTGCATAGTTTTGGAGAATGTTGCTGAATGATACAGATTTTGGGGTCTATTCACAAAGCTGCCGAGGGCAGCCGAGTGAATGACCGATCAGAAGTGAAGTGAGCCGAACACTGTTCGGCTATTCACTTCAGGCTGGTACAGCTGATTTCAGCCGTATATAAGCTGAAACCAGCCGTACATCGGCTTGCTTCGTGTGGATTCGGATCAGCCGAACATGCTCAGCATGTTCGGCTGAATTGTTTTTATTATGTATTGTGGCAATATTCCCACTGAATAACATTTAACTGGACATTGTCAGAAAAGTAACTTCTAATTGAAAATGTGATGCATGTTTAAGCTCTCTTTTTTGTACATGTATTTATGTATGCATGTCTGTATGTCATCACATCATAAAACACACCCACTGGTGTAAACTTAAGGTGAAGTCATTGGTGTCAGATAGATGGATAGATAGATAGATAGATAGATAGATAGATAGATAGATAGATAGATAGATAGATGCATTTTGCATTGCATTTGTACATGTTTTAATAAGTATATTATAACTCCTATTGTCATGGAGTTTATATTTTCCCCCCATGTTTTAAGGGTTTCCTCTCAAAAACATAATATTCTGGTAATTGTCACCAGACTGTATGGGAGCAAGTTTGATTTTACTGCATGGGAAATCACAAGTAAAATGCCAATCAATCTACTTGCACATAAAATGCTTAACTAACCTTTTGTAAAAAAGTAGAATTGAAATGAAAATCTCAGAGGTGAGTAATTAAATAGTCAGTACAGACTGTTTTTTTAAGCCTGTGAAAAAGACACAGCACAGAATTGACTGAACGTTCTAAGTAGGTACTATTGTGTGTTACAGGAAACCTGTCACAGGGGAGTCCTTAGACATGCAGCTATAGCCTAATTATCTCTGCTGAGCCTGCTAGCACCTAAAAACAAATCCCGATAAAATAAGGAATCCACGCTTTGTTGAACAATGTGAAATGTTAGTCAGGTTTTCATTGTTGTCTGTGTTCCCTTTGGGGAGCTTTTTTTCTTCTTCTCACAGTGTGTCATCAGGAAAAGAAGTATTGGGAAATCTCTCTAATGGGGACAGAGAAAAAAAAACAATCTTTTTAGTGGAAAGTGGAAAAAGTTTTGCTTTACTTTGTGACTACCTGCCCTGATAACGCTATAGTCTCCTAATTTCTTAGCTGAGTGTCACAGGGGACAGTAAATGAGGGGAAAGCACCTTGTTTAGGAAATAAAACCTGTTAACCCTACCAATTCTATCCCCAAAAAAGTTTTTGATTGAAGTTGGGCTTTACATTCCCATTTATCTTTTTAATGTTCTTCTAGATCAACCTTTGAAGGAACCAGAAATAACCATCCTTAAATCTAGCACTGAAGATGTGATTAGAGAAGGGTTTGCAATTTATATGTGCAACCTGCAGAATTTCTTCCCTGATGTGATCAGAGTGGTCTGGTATGAAGGTAATAATGAGAAAGAGGTGCAGTCAGAGCAAGGTGAAATTGAACACAGTAACAGTACAAACACCTATTCACTGAGCAGCTGGATAAAAGTACCCAAATCTGACCTGAGAAAGATGTTTACCTGCAAGTACAAACATGACACAACCAAAGAAGGCTGGAAAATGGAATCTGTATCAGGAAATGAGTACAATCTAGGTATGCATTGGGAAATGTATTGGGAAATTAGTATAATCTAGGTATGCATTGGGAAATGTATTGAGAAATCAGTATAATCTAGGTATATGTGCCTATTTAACATAAGAAGTCCATATTAAGTTACAAATGTGCCAGACTGTTAAGTAGAAGTAGTAACCAAGTTATTCTAATCTAGTTTCCTATGTGATAAATAAAATAGAAGGCCCAGTATAAATAGACCTAGTAATAAGTAAGATACATTTGTTGATTGACTTTTGAGAGGGTAGAATGAAAAGCATCTAGTTTGTAATACAATGCTTAACATGTCGCTGTCGTAGACAAACGCTAGTTATTGCACACAACACAGTTGCTTCAAAATCTTCAAATGTACCATGCTTCACTGGTACCCAGGCAGTTCTGAATATCCTTGTGTGTATCCATGTAAAAGGTAAACTTGCTCTTACAATAAAGTGACTTGACCAGGACGTTAGGTCACACTAACGGATGCTGAAATTCTCTCCCTCAGTTGGAGAGGATTCAAGCCAAGATGCATTCTCTGAGGTGGACAATGTGAGTACCAACAGGAAGTAAAATACAAATATCCAAAGCTGGTACAGAGGGGGGACTGAAATCATAATCTTGGTGGTAATAGTACCTCTACTGTAAGCTGACATATTTCGAGGCCATGCCCTTCTACAAAGTTATTACCACCAAGCTTATAGTTTCGGCCCCTCTTCTGTGCACGCTTGGGATGTCTATTTTCCTCTCTAATTGTTGACTATTATTGTTCTTAGTTAGAGAGTTTTTGCATCTGTTGGTGTGATTTGATGTTCCTCTGGATTATTTGTCTTGGTGATGTGTCCTGATCAATTTACATGTAAGTGGTTTCACCTGCACTACCCAGTGTGCTCTGTTTCTGCGATTACAGTTGCATCCAAAAGTCGAAACTATTATACAAAAGATGGGAAATGGCATATAAGAAATTCTGCAGCTCCTTAAAGTGAAACTTTAATTGAACAATTAGAGACCTTAGCCAAAAAATGGCTTTTGCTGTCTGCTACCAACCTTTTTTTTTCTTGTCCCCAGCCTACAGTGCAGGATACATTTCTGTCCCATTCCTGACATTTTAAGATGCTGAGAATGGATCTGGCAGCTCAGATGGTGCAACTCCAGCACACATGCCAGGAGTTACATCATATTTGGCCACCCAATGGGCACTGGAAGAGGACACCAGATGCAGGAGACAGGGAGAAGCTGATAACAGTGAACAGACAGACGAGGAGGCACATGACCCCCATATTACTAAGGGAGTGGAGGCTAGCTGGTGAAATCTGCTATAATGTGCAAAAATTACTCTGTACTTAAAACGAATTTAAAGCCAAAACTTGTTTTAGTCTTAGTTTCGGATAAAGCAGGGAATAAATAAAACATTTGCTTGCTTTCATTGCTGTCTGTGACCCCAATGAAAAGAGCCCTCTCTATTTGTCTGAGTTATCATTGTCACAGGGGAATGACATGGAGGGAAAGTCTAAAATGTGGAGTTGTCAGTGGAACAGGAATTGAGGGAGAACATTCCAATTGGGACACCAGTTGTGGTGAGAACCATCTAACGGGATTTCCCCTCACAGGAAGTGTAGGTAAATCTCTGAAATAGGATGCAGACAGCCAAAAAAAAAAACTAAAAGCAGTTTCAACTCTATTCAAAACTAATAGTTTTATCGTTTGGTATACTTAAATGCTAAGTTTAGCTTTGCGACCATGTTATATGTTACTCTCTATATGTAGTATGTAACATGACATATGGATTGCAACTCCTCCCCCCCCCCATTTATCTGAATCATGGGGTTCCTCTCCCCACAGGCTGGTGATCATGCTTGTGATGCCACCACACTTGTAGCGCATACCTTCTTCTTCCCATCCATGTTACTTAATGTCTGAACTGAGTTAAAGAGATGGCTGGCCTGCAGGATCCAGAGCATTGCACCTGTGATCCACTGCAATTATTTACTGGCTCCAAAGCAAAAAATAATAAATGCACATTTTTCTTTTATGAAAAGGCGTGCTTTTCTTTCTAAACTGTGACATTTCCCTTTAAAGGACAACTTCACCTTTAGAAATTTGCCATTTAATTTATTCTCTCTATCCCCCTGAGCATAGCCCACCTGGTAATGTACTTGTACATTACTGGTAATGTAATGAATTTTGTGGCCCAGCCCAACACCACACAGCTGTAGTAAAAAAAAACTCTGCTGGCCCTTCTTCACACTGTGGCCCAACACAGGTAGGGGGCGTAATTAAAAGACTAATTCACCAAAAGTAAGAGTTTCCCTTTTAAGAAATATGTTTAAACTGACAATGATGCTCCACAGCATGATGTGTAAGTTGAAAAAAACCCCAGAAAACTGCTTCAAATGTTTTACCCTCTTGATTATTCCATGAAAATACTGAATTTCTGAAAGTCAGTATTTGCAAAGCCTTAGGCATGCCCTGTCCTCTCATTTTACATGTAAAAATATTTAGAAATCCCCAGCATATGTTCACCAAGGCTACACTACTAGTATTTAAAAAATGTAAGTGCAAGCAAATTAGCCAGATCTGGGGAAATAATAATAATGATCCAAAAAATACACATGGCACGCAAAGTTATTTTGATGCAATAAAACTTGTTTTTAAACTGTTGCAGATATTACAGTAACTTTAACTCTTTTTCAGTGATTCATAAGAAAGAATCCAATTACAAGAAATGCAAAGAAGGTATTTATTTTTCAATCATTTTGAATACTTCTTCTAACACAGTAGGCTGCTCAAATATCTTACCGATTAATTTACTTCCCAGTATTTTGGGAAAACGTGGGTGTGATCTACATGTTTTTCTGTGTTGAGCTGATGGAGTGCAGCATGAGAAAGAGACTTGTCTCTTGAAGTGTTACTATGCTTAACCTTTAAAATAATATATACGATGCAGTCTGCCACTAATATTAAAACAGCCCCCTGTTTTGTTACCTGTTGATCCTACCAGTCATTGTTATTTTTCCACTTTCTGTAGTAGGGTGACAATTCTGTTCATTCTGTAGTAAAGTTGTACATTAGCATTGTCACCCCTATGGACAGGGTAGTCGTGCCCTAAAAGGTGACCGTTGTAAGCATCCCTATCAGTGTTATATATTTTGTCTTAACCTCTCTAACTTTTGCTGGACAGCTTAGCCTGTAACATTAAGGGGGTTATTCACAAAGCTGCCGTAGGCAGCCGAGTGAATAACCGACCCGAAGTGAAGTGAGCCGAACGCTGTTCAGTTATTCACTTCAGGCTTGTACGGCTGATTTCAGCCGTACACTGACTAAAATCAGCCATACATCGGCTGGCTGCGGCTGGCTTCGGGTCGGCCAAACATGCTCAGCATGTCCAGCTGACCAGAAGTGTAGAAGGAGTTCAACTCAGCCGATCCAACATCTGGGTCGGCTGAGCCGAACCTCCGGCAGGCTACTCGCTGCTGTTCAGCCTATTCTCGTAGATGCGTCCCTGGTTACCTGGTAACCAGGGACGCTGATCTGTCTGTGCAAGTGGCCGGAGCCAGCCGTGAGATGAGCCAACTTCGGGAGCTGTACGGGCTATTCACTATAGCAGCCCTTCGGTTCTACTGAACCAATGGGGTCCTGGGGCTGCAGCTAGCCGAAGGATCAGCTGAAGCTACGGCTAGATCCCTCGGCAGCTTTGTGAATAACCCCCTAAGAGAGAACTCAACTATTCAGCTGGCAGGATCAACAGTTAATAAAACTATGTTACAGGAAAGACTCAGAAAAAAAACTAAATCTGCTGTGTTATTATTAGAGACATACTTCATGTATTTTTTTTATTTTGCCAAAGCTTACACTTGAAGGCATTGGTCACATGACCCTAACTTATAACTGATCATACACACGTTTATTTTCAGGTGTTTTTAATGATAAATGAATGCATTTTTTAGCCCGAAATTATTTCAATGCATTTTTTTTTGCCTAAATGACTGTAACCGAGCAAACAATAACAAAATATATATGATTATTTTATGTGTGGTTAATTGTTTTTGCTTTCTGTTTTCCTCTTTTGAATTTTGAACAGAAACAGATACATTTTAAACCATAATTATTCTACAAATTTCTGAAAAATATTGTTTGCAGATATTTTTTTTATATTTTGGAAAACTATTTTGACCCATATTTTGTAATTATATCAGCCATTGAGATTGTTTTGGTGGTAGAACGTTGGGTTCGATTTTTTTTGTGATGGAATACCAGCTATGTCTGTTTTCTACAGTTTCAATTGTGCTTTTCAACCCTTCATTTTTTCCCATAAGAAGCAATGGCCTTTTTAATATAAAAGAGTGCATTTTTCGGTTTGTCATGCAATTACTAACAGAGGTTCGTATGCACATGATTGTGCATGATACGTTTTTCATCTTATTCCTTATCTCAGACACTAGTCCCTATGGGTAACTGAACTGCCATAAATTAGTTTAGTTTGTCATGAATGATCTTATTTAATATAAACTGCCAAGTGGATACATTCTTATATTAATATGGAAATTATTTAACTGTAAGTATTCCTATAATTGATTGAAATCAAATTTGTTGTGTTAAAACAGTGTGCCAACATCTTACTAAAATATTTTACTGCTTATTATAAAATGATCCAAGTGATAATTTTCTGGCTGTGCCTGGTAGGATGTCAGTTGAAGTCAGTTGTCAGATGTAAATATTCTATAGGCAGATTGTGTCATTGTAAATGAGGAACATGTTTAAAAGGAAATGCTACAAAGTGACACAAAAAATTGTTTTAATTGATGTAGCACAAATGATATTTATTCTGTTAAAAAAATATAAGCAATAGAACAGTGTGTTGGAGCAGACTGACTGTTCCATTACTTTTTAAAATGTATGTAGTGCTCACAAATAAAGGTGAGCAAGTTGATTATCAGGTCAGGTAAATGGGCAACTTGATGTACTGCAAACGTTTTAATTTGTGCTAATACATATGTGCCCCTTTGGATTCCTGGATTGCACCATAATCCCCTAATCTGCCATATCAAACAAATAATCAAGAGAATCAAAAATGTATAAAGAGTAGATACTATTTTTTTTTTAGTAATCACTGTTAGCAATTAGCATTTGAGCAGCTATGACACTGTTAATTTAAATCACTGACACTTTTACAGGGATCTTGGTAGAGACAACACTCCCATTCCCTTTAAATTCCCCTGAAATGGATATGAGATTTGATGTGAGAATAGGTCTGTGTATAAATTACTTGTGTAGTAAATCAGGCCACCTACAGGTACACTGCATTGTTGTTAATTCCTCTATAAAATGTGCCAGATCTCTAAATTGCTGCCTATTAGGGAATAGCAGCATGAATTGAATAGGCAGTGGTACTATGAATTTGAAAAGAGAAATATAATAGATTCCTGGTAGAGTTTGCTCACTGAAAACGGTTGTCTACCCTCACCTATAACAGATCTGCTTTACAAAGTATCCATTCTTGAGATATGACATGCATATATGACCTAGAGATCACCATTTCAACTTTACAAAGTTCTCATCTTAGTTTAATTCTTCCAGGTTTGCCAAGTTTTAATCGTATGATCTATCGAGCAGCACAACTTACCTATGCTATGCTAATCTTAAAGAGCCTAATGTATTCGCCAATTCTGATTTTCATAAAGTACAAAACCAACCCATGAATTTCTCAACGCAAACAGCAACTTTCAAGATGTTTTCTATACTGGAAAAACATGCTTATTTTTTTTTTAAATGTATTGTGCTTAGAATTACATTTGTAACTTACATATTTTCTAAAACATTATCATCATTGTGTATATTTTTTAAATAAGGGATAAAACCCCAAAAATTAACATTTTACAGTTCACGAGTTCTTAAATGTGTTAGTTTTTTGCCTTTATTTTATCCTTGATACTGTCAGTAACACACTTCCTGTCCTAGTTTAACAATATTCACTCACCATACTGTATCTACAGAGGAGCAGAATTGCCCATTTAGGACAGGAAATGTGGACTACAGAATACCTTGCTATCCCCTTATCGCCATAAAATAAAGATAAAAGTTCTACAGTCCCTAGTTATAGAACAGTTACAGCAAAATGGTTTTAACAGTACTTTTAACAGACCAAAAGGGAGCAAATAAGAGAAGTTAATTGTCACAGTTAATATACACTTTAACACCCTGCCGCCCTGTGTTGGTCGCCTAGAGCCCCCGTTGCCATGGCGCCCTGTGCTCGCCATGGCAACAGGGGCAAGGGGGCGCACAGTTAATATACACTTTAACCTGTAAAAACAAGTATTATATAATATTATTTTAAAATCAATGGTATATGTTATCATAATATAGGTTTCATTTTAATTTAATGTTTCTAAGCCTTATTTAGTCATTGGGGTTATTTTACTAAAGGAGTAGAGAATAATCACTTAGCAAAAAAACTCTCATTTAGCAAAGCGGATGTTCACTTAGGTTAGTGAATAAAGCGACAATAGGTTCACTTTGAAAAAACAGCTTTATTCGTTACGATGATAAGGGTGTATACGCTTTGCTAAGTGGACACTCTTTTCTCTTACAGTACATTACTTGTACTGAATCAGCATTGCACATTTAAAAAATATATATTTTACATTTTCTTAAAAACAACTAAAACTTGTGCTTATCCGCTAATAAATACTGGAGGCACATTAGTAAAATAGAGTTAAATAGATTCATGCAACATTAGCACCTTAATCCATCTGTCATAAAAAGAGCAGTGACATATTTGGTTGTTTTTTCATTATGCCAATTGTAACAGCATTACCATAAAAGGAATAAAGAAAATTACTGAATATACTAATTGAAAGTAAAGTCAGCAACACTCAATGCCAAGCAGCAGCTGTAGAAGCTAATAAAATATTTGGATGTATAATAAGGAAAATAAAAGTGTGCAATTAGAGTATATTGTCATCCCTATATAAATCTTTGAAAAGGCCACATCGAGAGTATGGGGTGCAGTTTTGGGCACCAGACTATAACAGGACACATTGTTTCAGAATACCTTTGTGGGATCAGTAAAGGGGTGGTCAGAAAGTAATACCTCTTAAATACGCAAGTGCAAATTTTATATGAGCATTTTTTATTTACCTTATTCATTTTGGTTATTCATGATTACGTTCTTGCTTTGCTGCAAATATATTTACAAAAGCCTGCTCTGTATTTGCATATGGGATGTTTCTGTTAATTCTATTTTATTGTACTTGGTTATTACATTTCTACAGTATAATTTCTATAGTTATGTAAAATGTATTAAAAATCAAGATTATCTGAAATATTTGGAAGACTGTGAAAAAGTATTTGTTAAATTACTCTTTTCCTACTTTTAGGAGAGTGAACATTAATATCTGATGTGTCATGTGCCTATCACATTCATATACACAGCAAGGTCAGTTTGTCAAGGAAAAATTGTTTAACACCTGTTTTTCTTTTGTTTTTTGTTACTGCTTTCCAGGGCAGAGCCAGAGCTAGCTCCTTTTGCGCCTGAGGCAAGAAGAAAAAATTGTGCCCCTCCAACAGGCATCTGACATCACCCGATGCTGTGCATATGCTGTGTCATGTGACGTCATGCTCCCCGCTTCCTGACACGAGGGGGGGGGAGGCAGCGCTCTCTCTTCAGGATGGCCTGAAGCGGTGAGGAGAGAGAGCCACCGGCTGTCAGATCCTGGCCAAGCGGCTCTCTCCCTCCTCACCGCTCGGGCCATCATGAAGTAACAACTCCCTCCTCCCTCCTGTGTTGGCCGCCTGGCGCCCCTGTTGCCGTGGCATCCTGTGCTTGCCATGGCAACAGGGACGAGGGGGCCCAGCCAGGCTGGAAAAATGTGCCCCAATACATGTATTTAATCTGTAACAGAATCTATGTACTCCATAAGTGTCAGTAAATAAATGATGAGTTGAAAACACTGATATGGAAATTTTTCACTTCTGTCCCGAATTGTACAATTGCATTTAATGTGTATTGGTGCTTTTTAGCAGTGAATCCATCAGGCATATACAGTCAAGTGAAAAAATAAAACACCCAATGGAAATTGTTGACTTTTGTCACATATTTGAACAGGAAGACATTTGATCTTTATTAATACAGTTTTGACAGATAAAGGTGACATACTTGAACAAATGACACATGAAATGACATAACATGGTATAATAACCTAATTGAAAAAAGTTGCACATTTTTCTCATGCATAAAGTAATTACACCCCTACATTTACCACCGGGTCAAATCCTGACAATAGAATCAGGTGTTACAGATTAGGTGCTAATGATTAGAACCTTCTTCTGCAGTAAAAATTTGGAGCCTGTCTTATTTAAACCTTAAATATCTGGGGATCTATTTATAAACAATTTTCCCAGTCCTTCACCCTGCCAATATCTGTGAATGTTCATTTTTGGCAAAAAAAAGGCAAAAACCAAGGGGGCTATTCACAAAGGAGCTGAAGGGTCCAGCCGTAGCTTCGGCTGATCCTTCGGCCGCCGTAGCCCTTCATCTGGCTGCACCCCCAGACAGCTGTGAATGAGGTGAGAGCCTCACTCGCTTCACCCTTCCTATGGCCCTGATCCAGGGCTCCGCTACAGAGATTTACCCTCATTTCCTGTTCCAGTGACAACAATTCTACCAGAAAGAAAGTGATGGAAAATCTGCAACTAGGGCACAGACACAAATAAAACGTTCTAGCCTTCTATGGTATTTTATACAAACACATATATTTTTACATTTATTATCTATTTTGAATTGTTCTTTTCTGTGTATTACATTTTGATTGTTAGTGTCCACAAATCCCAAATTATCTATATCGGGTCTCAGTTGTAACCTTTCCCTACTCTACTAAAGAAAAGCAATGTTCTCCTCAATTTCCGTCTGGTAAAATGTTGCCAGGATGACATCAAGTGATAGGAAATCTCCATCGCCGAGGTATAGGCTCTAACTCCTCTACCCAAAACAAATAAAATTATTGGCTTGACAAACACTTTAAATTGAACCTGTGCCCAGCTTATGTATGTTAAAGTATTTACATAACCCGAACAAGCAGTAAAAGCAGACCTGATTCACTGCTGTAGCTTTTGGTTACAGATAAAATTAATCTTCAATGTAAAATTGTTGCTTCTGCCCATTGTATTCTCTATAAAAAGCAGAATCTTTCTAATGTGAACTAACAGCAGGCATTTCTTAGCTGTTGGAAACAATAAAGTCTTTGTTGTGATCTTTGAGGATATTTGAGAACAAATTACTTCACAGTACATGCAGCACAAGAGAGGTGAGTGGGAGCTTGTTTTAAAGCTCTTTTACTGCTGGTAAAGAATATGTAAATCTTTTAAAGTTGCACTGAATTCAGGAGTTAAATCTTAAAAATACATTTAAGTACCGTATCTATTAACAAAAATGTAGCTTGTTTGTATATCAGTCTGAATTCATGCTGATACTGTCCTTCCTTCTGGAGGGTGGCTACTTCTGTTCCATATGGTCCCTGTGTGTGTTGTAAAGTAGCCACCACTCCAACCTCGCTCCTGGGATGGACTACAATCTTAAGTTTAGTTTACTAATTTGTGTTGAAGATATAGCCCACCGCAGGAGTGAGCTAGGAGCAGTGGTTACTTTACAACACACGCAGGGACCATGGGGAACAAAAGTAGCCACCCTCCAGAAGGAATGACAGTGTCATCATGAATTCAGAGATGATTTGAGTGATATGCAAATAAGATACCTTTCTGTTAATAGTGAAGGTACTTGAATGCATTTTTACAATTTTTTTACAACTCCCCGGCTTCCACTCTTCTTTTGATCTAATTCAATGGACACAGACTCCTACTCACTCTGATGGTAACACACTTGATCTTATTTTCTCCCACCTATGCGCTCCTTGCAATCTCTCCAACAACCCTTTCCCACTCTCAGACCACAACCTGGTCAGTTTCACAATCACCATCCCCCTCCTCTTTCAGATTGTAAGCCCTCCGTACCATCTTGTATTGTATTGTAACTGTAATGTCTTCCTTATATTGTAAAGCGCTGCACAAACTGTTAGCGCTATATAAATCCTGTATAATAATAATAATTTAACTCCTAAATTATTATTAATGTCCATTGTCTGAACAAACCAGAACCAGAACTAGCTGCAGCAAACTCATAACCTGGCAACGCATTTACCACACAATCAAATGTCTTCACATGCTGAGGCCTGAAAAATGGATGATTCATTGGTACACAAAGGTGTGTTGCTTATTATTTATAATTTAGTAACAGAACAATTATTTTCCATGCAGCATTTTATTACCGTATTTTCCCTAGTGGTACTTTGCATGACCCAGTACACTATCATTATTAAATGCATGGTACAAAATAATAAAGTATATACATGGTGCCCTAATGAAACACAGATTGCAGAGAGGTTTAAAAACAAAAACCTCAAACATCTATGAAGATGGTAATCTGCGTACTGTAACTCAACAGAAAAAATTTGGAAGGCAGTTTGACCACAAAATTCTGCAGCTAATATCGTATTTGTGACCATATATCTAGACATCACATTTTAAGCAAATTGATATTTAAAAAAACAAAAACAGGAAACAGCAACCCGGTGGTAACATTTACTCATCAGCACATAGCAATTTACTGCAACCACAAACACTCCTTTTCCATGAAATTAAAGACTTC